GGTGGCGGATATGGGTAGGATTAGGGGTGGGGTTAGGGATCAGGGGTGGAGATGGGTAGGATTAGGGGTGGGGTTAGGGATCAGGTGGCGGATATGGGTAGGATTAGGGGTGGGGTTAGGGATCAGGTGGCGGAGATGGGTAGGATTAGGGGTGGGGTTAGGGATCAGGGGTGGAGATGGGTAGGATTAGGGGTGGGGTTAGGGATCAGGGGTGGAGATGGGTAGGATTAGGGGTGGGATTAGGGATCAGGTGGCGGAGATGGGTAGGATTAGGGGTGGGGTTAGGGATCAGGTGGCGGAGATGGGTAGGATTAGGGGTGGGGTTAGGGACCAGTTGTGGAGATAGGTAGGATTAGGGGTGGGTTAGGGACCAGTGGTGGAGATGGGTAGGATTAGGGGTGGGGTTAGGGACCAGTTGTGGAGATAGGTAGGATTAGGGGTGGGGTTAGGGATCAGGTGGCGGAGATGGTAGGATTAGGGGTGGGGTTAGGGACCAGTTGTGGAGATAGGTAGGATTAGGGGTGGGGTTAGGGATCAGTGGCGGTGATGGTAGGATTAGGGGTGGGGTTAGGGACCAGTTGTGGAGATAGGTAGGATTAGGGGTGGGGTTAGGGACCAGTGGTGGAGATGGGTAGGATTAGGGGTGGGGTTAGGGACCAGTGGTGGAGATGGGTAGGATTAGGGGTGGGGTTAGGGATCAGTGGCGGAGATGGGTAGGATTAGGGGTGGGGTTAGGGACCAGTGGCGGAGATGGGTAGGATTAGGGGTGGGGTTAGGGATCGGTGGCGGTGATGGGTAGGATTAGGGGTGGGGTTAGGGATCAGGTGGCGGATATGGGTAGGATTAGGGGTGGGGTTAGGGATAGGTGGCGGAGATGGGTAGGATTAGGGGTGGGGTTAGGGATCAGGGGTGGAGATGGGTAGGATTAGGGGTGGGGTTAGGGATCAGGGGTGGAGATGGGTAGGATTAGGGGTGGGATTAGGGATCAGGTGGCGGAGATGGGTAGGATTAGGGGTGGGGTTAGGGATCAGGTGGCGGAGATGGGTAGGATTAGGGGTGGGGTAGGGACCAGTTGTGGAGATAGGTAGGATTAGGGGTGGGGTTAGGGACCAGTGGTGGAGATGGGTAGGATTAGGGGTGGGGTTAGGGACCAGTTGTGGAGATAGGTAGGATTAGGGGTGGGGTTAGGGACCAGTGGTGGAGATGGGTAGGATTAGGGGTGGGGTTAGGGATCAGGGGTGGAGATGGGTAGGATTAGGGGTGGGGTTAGGGATCAGTGGCGCTGATGGTAGGATTAGGGGTGGGGTTAGGGATCAGTGGCGCTGATGGGTAGGATTAGGTGTGGGGTTAGGGATCAGTGGCGGTGATGGGTAGGATTAGGTGTGGGGTTAGGGATCAGTGGCGCTGATGGGTAGGATTAGGGGTGGGGTTAGGGATCAGTGGCGGTGATGGGTATGTTTAGGTATATGTAAGGTGGGAGGAGTTGAATCTGGATCCAACTCCTCCCCCTGGATTTCGTGTTCTGCAGTGAGGACCATCTCCATGATATTGATGTGGGCGTGGGCTTTTTTTACTTAGCAAAAATCTAACAACCACTTAGCATCCCTTGTGAACAAGTGTGCTTAATTGTAATGAATGTGCACATGTAGTGTACTTAAAGAGAGTACACTTTCATGACCATGTTACTTAATACACTTTTAAAGTGCAATGTCAAATGAAAAGTTTTTTTGTCGTTTTTATTGCATTGTTTGCATTACTCTAGAGTGAAAATCTAGCTGTTCATTCAGTTTAGAAGCAACACTTGACATGCAGTTGTGTCAGGTATGTTGAGAGAGAGGAAAGATTATGTTTTATTATGTTAGATTATATTGAAATGAACAGTGCATACAGTCATACCTCAGTCATGTTCAGATCTTTTATGTGTCTCCTCAGACATTGTCAACTGTGACCTCAAGTCCACGTTGAGGGTCCTCTACAATCTCTTCAC